TATACGTTTATTCTTCCATGTGACTCAGGACTGAAATAGACATATGACCATCTCACAAATTAATTTCGCGGACAATTCTCTCCTCGTATGTGAATCAACGTTTATACTTATCAGGCAAGATTCAGCTAGGCCTCTTTTGCTCCTTTTCAAAGACAGCTTGGGTGACATTAAATAATCGCCCGACTGTTTGTAACTTGATATGCACTTTCGAACGCGTGACAGATGACTCGTAATAATTTATCGCGCTTCGAACATCAATTGATTGCCCCTTCAGATAGTAAATTCTTACGAGAACGAGACTAGGCTTTGGAACATGTGAATTCTTTACGGTGCACTAGCGAGTCTACGTGTATAGCTTCAGGTACTCCTTCGATCACATATTAACGGATCGATTCCTAACCAGATCGAAATCGACGTATGTACGTACGTATGTATAGTAGCTGGCTCTAAATAATCGTCAGATGCGTGTCGCTTAAGCGATGCAACGTGCTCCCGTCTCTTTCGGACATTGTTTCGAAGCGGTCCTTCCCTTTCATTCAGTAATTCGCAGGCAGCTGCACACTAATAATAGTATCGGACACTGCCGCCACCGCTTGCCGTCTCTGCTTTCGTCGCGTCTGTACGTACAACATTAGCCGTCAATATCGTCGGAAACGACGATAAACCTACCTTGCCTCTCCGCGCTAGGTTAACTCATTTTCCCGCACCTCCTCTTTCTCGCTGTTCCACGATTATCCGAATCACGAACAAAACCACGGAGTTTAAGCTCGAACACCCGACGGTGAACTACAACTTCTGTTATCGATTGATATCACTAAATTGTAATGCAAATCTAGTTACTCTTCAAATTAGGTTACGTTTGAAGTTAAAGCAAGAATCAATATATTTGAACTTCAGAAACAAACATAACTGCGTAAACAAACCTTAGAATTGCAACCAAACACTACTTGACTAACCCTGACCTAAGTTAAACGGGGACTAAGAACTTAATTACTAACCTAACTTCATAACCAAATCTGACATAACCAATAACCTAACACATCTGCATAACCAAACCTGAATCTGATATCCAAACTTAACTACTTGACCAAACTCTGACCTAAACCTGATCTGAGTTAACCTAACTGAGCAATAGGAACCTAATTACCTAACCTAACGTCATAACCAAACCTGACATAACCAATAACCTAACACATCTGCATAACCAAACCTGAGTCTGATAACCAAACTTAACTACTTGACCTAACCCTGATCTGAGTTAACCTAACTGAGTAATAAGAACCCAATTACCTAACCTAACTTCATAGCCAAACTTAACATAACCAATAACCTAACATATCTGCATAACCAAACCTGAATCTGATAATCAAACTTAACTACTTGACGAAACCCTAAGTTTACCTAACACGAGACAACCTAATCAACCTAACCTTAGTCTAATAATATGACGTAACCTTTACCTAATAACCTAATTGTAACTTAAGAACCTAATTCTCATTCAGTAACCTAAATTTCATTGTGAAATAGTCATTTCTCTTTCTATACTCGTTTTGAATAAACAGAAATTGAAATTACACGTGACCATACATGAATGGTAATCAAAATAAGTTTATCAGCAGTGCCTTGACTAAAGGTGACGATGCCAACGAATCACCTATCCGGCGATAATACTAGCGTCATCGTATTTTCGCAATTCTAGATCTGTTTATCGTTATTACTATTCCTGTTAGGGAAGATGAACGAATGGAAAGTTTTGCCGATATCGATAGGTCGTCGACGATAGGTTGAATCGAGAATAAGAGCTTCTTGTCTACTTTGAAACGTATTACATGTACCTCACGTCGGTGAAAAGTCAAGGAAATCAACGCGACGATAACCGCACGCGCCAACCGGAGGAACGATATCGCGTTTCCCCTCCGAGACCGAGGTATTCGGATCATGGTGTATTGCAAAATACCTCGTGACGTCTTTAAACGCCACAAAACTGAAACATCGTGTTTATCGAACTTGTTAAAATTGACTTACGCCTCTGTGTATAGTCATTGTAGCACTCTTGGATGAGTATACTTGTAACTTAGGATTTTTTTGTAAAATTAATTTTTATCGGTGCTGTAATTGGTGACCAAGTAATAATAATTTTTAATCATATTTGAACGAGGTTGTAAATATGAGATGGTACTAATTTGTGTAAATCGTGCTATGTATAATTGTTATTAAACTAATATAGGAACTAGAGGAACTTTATGCTCTATCCAGATAGAACCATGATTCTATCCAGATAGAATCATAGAACCATCGAGAATATTTGTAACTGCATGACACCGTGAACTTCCATAGAACCTAATGAAACTAATCGCAATTTTTCCATGACCCTGCCAACCCTTAAAACCCAAATCGCCCGCGGCGGTTCCCAGAACACGTGAATAGGAAGCTCACTAGAAGCAACAACAATATCTCCGTAGCGTGCATCCTTCCTTTCGTCAGATAAATAACGAGGCAATCGCATCCGTGAGCCAATGAGCCAAAAGATACCGGGTTTCCGTTTCACGAATGCGTCACGATAAGAAACTCCGCCGCGATCCATAAACCCTGTCCGTTATTGCTGAAAACAACGGGATGCAACGGTCTCCCCTATTGGAACATCTCCGTGCAATCGATACCGCGGGGCGCCCGTTTGGCCAGCTACGCTCCTGACCTTGATTGCGGCCAACGCACACGCCGAGATGCGACGCAGGTAGGGGATGTGGCGACGACACGGGTAGACGAATATATAGTACGCACGAATCGCTCGAGGATAACATCTCGTAGCCCAGGGAAGTAGACCTACGAGGAGACGGGAGCCAACAGGAGGATAGAGAGAGAAAGGGGATAACTTGAAGAGGGGGGGGGTTTCCAGCGTGTCCGTCATAACGCGTAGAGGGGGAGATCAGGTTGGAACGGTTACGGGGCGAAGCAGAGTGGAGAACAGAGGTGGTGGGGGCGGTCGACGGCGATAATACTAGCGTCATCGTATTTTCGCAATTCTAGATCTGTTTATCGTTATTACTATTCCTGTTAGGGAAGATGAACGAATGGAAAGTTTTGCCGATATCGATAGGTCGTCGACGATAGGTTGAATCGAGAATAAGAGCTTCTTGTCTACTTTGAAACGTATTACATGTACCTCACGTCGGTGAAAAGTCAAGGAAATCAACGCGACGATAACCGCACGCGCCAACCGGAGGAACGATATCGCGTTTCCCCTCCGAGACCGAGGTATTCGGATCATGGTGTATTGCAAAATACCTCGTGACGTCTTTAAACGCCACAAAACTGAAACATCGTGTTTATCGAACTTGTTAAAATTGACTTACGCCTCTGTGTATAGTCATTGTAGCACTCTTGGATGAGTATACTTGTAACTTAGGATTTTTTTGTAAAATTAATTTTTATCGGTGCTGTAATTGGTGACCAAGTAATAATAATTTTTAATCATATTTGAACGAGGTTGTAAATATGAGATGGTACTAATTTGTGTAAATCGTGCTATGTATAATTGTTATTAAACTAATATAGGAACTAGAGGAACTTTATGCTCTATCCAGATAGAACCATGATTCTATCCAGATAGAATCATAGAACCATCGAGAATATTTGTAACTGCATGACACCGTGAACTTCCATAGAACCTAATGAAACTAATCGCAATTTTTCCATGACCCTGCCAACCCTTAAAACCCAAATCGCCCGCGGCGGTTCCCAGAACACGTGAATAGGAAGCTCACTAGAAGCAACAACAATATCTCCGTAGCGTGCATCCTTCCTTTCGTCAGATAAATAACGAGGCAATCGCATCCGTGAGCCAATGAGCCAAAAGATACCGGGTTTCCGTTTCACGAATGCGTCACGATAAGAAACTCCGCCGCGATCCATAAACCCTGTCCGTTATTGCTGAAAACAACGGGATGCAACGGTCTCCCCTATTGGAACATCTCCGTGCAATCGATACCGCGGGGCGCCCGTTTGGCCAGCTACGCTCCTGACCTTGATTGCGGCCAACGCACACGCCGAGATGCGACGCAGGTAGGGGATGTGGCGACGACACGGGTAGACGAATATATAGTACGCACGAATCGCTCGAGGATAACATCTCGTAGCCCAGGGAAGTAGACCTACGAGGAGACGGGAGCCAACAGGAGGATAGAGAGAGAAAGGGGATAACTTGAAGAGGGGGGGGGTTTCCAGCGTGTCCGTCATAACGCGTAGAGGGGGAGATCAGGTTGGAACGGTTACGGGGCGAAGCAGAGTGGAGAACAGAGGTGGTGGGGGCGGTCGAACAAGGTAAGGGAGACGAAGAGAGAGAGAAGAAGCATGGGGGCGGTGGCTGCTCCGCTACGGCCGCCATCACCATCCGTCCCATCCTATAGTAAACTCCGAAGCAGCAGTCCCCAATCTGTCTCCATGTGTGTTAGTTAGGACCGTGTTTTACCGGTGCTTGCTACTCCAAGCTGGTAGTAACACCGACATTTCTGCCTTGCCCGCTCTCTGCGATGCCCTAGCATCGGCTCCCGATACCGTCGCACTTCCCTCGTTCCTTTCTTCTCTCCGTCTTTTTCCCGCTATTCTTTCCCTCCTTTAAGTGTGCGCGCGTGTGTTTCGCCTCTGTGCGTGCGATATAAAAAAAAAAAAAACGCGTACGCGAATGAAAAGAAAAGGAGAAGGTGGCGGAGGAGGAAGAGGCGGCAGAAGAAGAGCAGCGTGTCGCTTCCTGCACGGCTCGTTTCCAAGGATATAACCGGTGCACCGACGTTCCTTTCTTTTATCCCAATTTGCGAGAGTGTATTGTATAGTGTATATAATTAGTTGGGAAGTAGCCAGTGCACGCCGTATTGTAAATCTGTTCCTCGATATACATCTGTGCGCGCCTCGTCGGGCCGATTCTTCAAGAAACGTAACCGAGGAGACGAGGATTCCTCGAATCATGCGGAATTGAAAGAAAATTTGATACAAGATGTACCTACTTTTCGTGCGAGTTCTTCGAGTCCTTGAAAAGTTGTGACCGTCAGCCTCCGGAGCACACGGCGTCGAAAATCCAACGAGTTTCGGACGCGTCCCACCCAATTGGTCCTCTCGAATCATCGTCGTGGAATCATCAGTTATCGAGACGAGGGGAACGAAGGAACGGACGAGCTATCCGTGGACCTGAGCGCTGCCGCCCGCTGGAATTTCTCCTGTCGTCGTCTGCACATAACCTCTCTCTCCTCCTTCCCTCGAGCACTTTTTCGCCGCCTCTCTCTCTGCTTCTAATCTCTCTCCTTCTCTGTCCTCCCCCGTTCAACGCCTGGCTCGTTCCTCTATTCCACGTCGAAGAGAATAAACGTGATCAACATTCCCGTGTTTCGTTGAACTCGTTGTGCGTTGAACCGCTTTTCATGATCGCCGCGACAAGTGCTAGTAAAATTGTTCGCCGACGCGTGGATATCCGGAGTGGAGAGTCGTTTCGAAGGGGCCACAGTGTGACGCTCGATCCTGCTGCACCTGAGCCGGTTGTCATCGAAGGTTAACCTAAAAGAGGAGGACGGATGATCGCGCACCGACACGTTGCTGCACGCGAATTACCTCGTCCTGGACGCATTCGCTGTTGCACGAACGAGCGTTGAAGAAGTTACTTCGTATCTATGCACCCAGACGACGCGAGAACAGGCGGTTATCGTTGCTTCGTACCGGCGGCGTATTTATCGAACAATCCAACGGAGAAACGGACAGCAGGATTGCAACCATGCGTCGCTGTACCTTGAAACGTCACAGATCACGCTGGACGAACTCTTGAGTGGAATCGCGGACGAACCGAGGCCAACCAAACATTCAACCTGGCGGAATCGTCGGAAAGACGCAAGACGTACCTCGGGGAGCTCTGGCTTGCGCTCACGCGAATATGAACATGACTCTCGTCCGAAATACGTTCAAAGGTAAGTCGTTTTTCGTGCACATTCTTCCCGCCCTTTAACCTGTGACTGGTACGGTATTGTCCAAAAAGTATGTTAGTTTTTAAACAAGGTACGAGCACTCATTGTTACCTTTTACATTGATCAGAAATTTCGACCATGAACCACGATGAATAGTCACATTTTGAAACATTTGAAAGATGACAATGAGTTCGGACATTGTAAAGAAAACTCTGTATGTCGGAGTATATCTAAATGTATAAAATATAACAAAAGAATTCACATTTCTGTCACCATAGTTCCAATAACACTGTACCAGTCAATTACGATGGTATTTAAAAAGTTTCTACTTAAAATGTATAAGTGAAACATTGATACGCGCATCGTAAATTGATCGTAGTATTACGTTAGAAAATGTAACAGCGTGTTATGATGACGTTGACGTTGCGTTGTTACTTCATTGACTTTCTCGTGGCTGATAGTTTACCTGCTTAAGAATTCGTGAAGTCGAAAGCTCTTTACACGTGATTTCTGCGTGTGCTTCGTAAATACGCCTGTTTATTCGCGCGCGCGCGTGCGCGCCAGAAAGAGACAGAAAACACAACCGAATGCGCGTTGTATTTAACACATGCGTTCGTTCGCGCATGCGCACGCGAGCCATGAAAATATCACCTATTTTTTGACGAAACGACGTGTAAAATTGGTTCGCAAATACGAACGTTCGAATAAAACGGTATCAAAAGAATCGATATATTTTTTCGTTCCACTCAAAACAGTTTCCACAAAATGCGTTGTAATTTATTTTTACCGCGATATCGTTGGCGGTACACGTGTTGTTTCTGGAAAGAGTAAAAGGAACACAGCGTACGTACTGTACGTAGTTTGTTACCGATTGTTATGTAATTTATTTAAAAATTACGAGTCAGATTTAGCGTAGTTTAAAGCACGACTTCCGAAACAGTGATCCTATAAAAAGTTCTTTACGCGTCATCAAAGAGAACGCGTTTGACGCTAAATTTCGTCGCGTGTACATACGTCTTAACCTTAACACTCGACAGAATTCGTTTTTCTTTTTACTTCCCATTCGTGGGATTTCGTAGTGTCGCGTTGATTCGTGAACAGTTTTTTTCTTTTTATCACCGAGAACGTAGCGTCACCTAACGATTCTGATCACTTTTCGTGATTCACGGATGATACAGTTTGTTCAACCGAAACTGAACTTTAGACCTGACACGCACCACTTTTGTGGCGCGGATGCGGGAAAAGACTTCAGATACGACTCTCAGTGCGTTACGGTTGTTTCGTTTGTCCAGCGTTTTCGTGTTTCACGAACGATTATTAAGATACCGTTTTTTGTTATGACCTCTTTATTTCATTCTAAAGATTATCTTCCTTAAACCGCACTTAATTTAAAGTTTACTCGAAACGACTGTGATCCCAATTCGATCGAAAATCATTTGTTAAAATACATCAATCATAGAGTCTTAATTTGAACCATGTTAGTGGCTTACTGCCAATCGTTTGAAAGGTGCAACGAAGTTTCACCTTCTTCGCAAACGGTGGCCAATTTTACGCGGGTTCACAAACGATATCGATAATCGTAACAGTCTCGTTTCCTTCGTTAGGAACGTAACACGACACTGGCGAGGCCAAGATCAGTGGTGCGCGTTCTTTCGCGAAACAAACGGGTCGACGATTATTGAACAATCTCGGATCGGAGTCGTGCCCCGCGCGAAAATATTTACCAATTCAGCGCACGGAAATCCGTGGCTCTATTTTTGACGGAGAACACTGACAGTCGTGTCCACAGGAGAATTGCCGTTTCAACGGCAGCCATTCAATCGATTCGGTGCTTCGGATGAATCGTTGCTAGTAACACAGACCACTGAGTACTTCTCCACGATCTCGACTTTCGAGTAAATATTTATACGTACCGGACGGACAAACGGTCTACAAATTATTTTCTTAGGTCTCGAAAACGAACTGATTTTGTTTGGTGATTTGAAAGAATTTTCTGTATGTACTTTGATTTTCTTCGCGTTGACTTGTCACGATGACGTGATAGATTTAAAATTTTTTATTAGGCATTTTCAACTTTAGTGATCTAGAAATTCAGATATTTAGAATTTGTAAACTTCCAACCCCAATTTTCAAGTTTGCAGTGGCAATCTAACGCAAGGTTGTACTAACTTAGCTTGGGTGTAAGTCATATATCATACACTACGTGTTATATCACCACGTGTTAGATGACCGTATGTTAAATTATGTTAGATCGTTAATTGCATGTTATATGGTTACGTATTATATCGTTGCTCTATCTATATTGCCGTAAGTTATAATGACACCGCTATCTATATTGCCGGATGCTATATCTTGCGCTTGGTATATCGCCACGTGTTCGACTGTTTCGTGTCCTATATCGCTGCAAATTATATTATTACTCTTTCTATATCGCCGTGCGCTATAACGGTGCTCTTCTTATATCGCCGTGCGCTATAACGGTGCTCTTCTTATATCGCCGTGTGTTATATTGTTGCGCTCATTATATCGCCACGCGCTATATTACTGTGCTCTCTATACTGCTATGTGTTAGATTGTTTCATGTTATATCGCCACGTGCTATATCACCACTTATTATATCGCCACGTGCTATATCGACACTTGTTATATCGCTACGTGCTATATCGACACTTGTTATATCGCCACGTGCTATACCGCCATTTGTTATATTGCTACGTGCTACGTTACTATTTGTTATATCGTTATGTGCTATATCGCCATTTGTTATATCGCCACGTGCTATACCGCCATTTGTTATATTGTCACGTGCTACGTCACTACTTGTTATATCGCCACGCATTGTATGTAAGAGAATTATTCATACGTGTAAAAGACCGTACAAGAATGGCCATATAACGAGTGTCCATTGAAAACCTTAAATTTGGCAAAAAAAAGGTGAACGACGCATACGTGTATTTTGATATATGGCACGTTTTTGTCGAAATTCACGCGTCTGGAAATAAAACGGATAGCCAAACGCTGTTCGAGCCTGCCCCGTCGAATTCCACGGTTCGTTTTCGCGAGATTCTTTTGTTCGTTCGAGCACACCAAGAGAGTACATTGTTCTTGCCAGGAGAGATAAGCTTCCCTATATTCCGCGGCCGAGATGAATGACGCTACTGTATCGGCGGTTGCGCATCGTATGCAGTTCACTAAGTCATCCGCCCGCGTATATTCCCATTTTTCTTCGTTCTCTCTCTCCGCCGTTCTCTCTGCTTCCGTTATCTTCCGTTGCGGCCAGTTATCGCCGTGCCGTCTGTTTCTGTATTTTTCAGCGAAACGCGGACAAATAATCGTGTTGCACGCGCGAACGACCGGCATGATTGCAAAACTGTCCAGTATCCGTCGCGAACAATGGAAACCCCGGGATCGCGTTTGTTTCTGCGTTGTCTGGTTTTATCAGAACGACAAGGTGTCGCTGGTTCGAGACGCTTTAACGCGTTCACCGACACTGTGCAAATGGCCCTATTTAATTCGACATATTTCGTTATTTATTTATTTAGAATCATTTGCCTATTTCAGCTCTTCATTTTCCACTTCCCCAAATTATTATTGCGTTATGTTCATTGTTTAATATATTTTTGTTCCGAATTATTTGGTTACATCGAGGAGGAGGTATCTACCAAGTACCATATGACGTAGATATTTATCAGTGGAAGTATCTTGGGGATGTAGGTATATGGGGACATACTTGAGGATGTAGGAACTTGGAGATGTAGGTAATTACGTATGTATTTGAGGATGTGGATAATTGGGTACTTAGATGCTTGAGAACATAGGTACTTCAAGGTGTAGGTAATTGGGGAGGTATGCACTTGGGTACTTAGGTACTTGAGGATTAGGTATTCCAGAACATAAGTACTTGAGAGTATAAGTATTTGGGAGTATAGGTATTTGAGAGTATTGGTGCTTGAGAGTAATGGTACTTGAGAGTATTGGTACTTGAGAGTATTGGTACTTGAGAGTATTGATACTTGAGAGTATTGGTACTTGAGAGTATTGGTACTTGAGAGTGTTGGAATTTGAGAGTGTTGATACTTGAGAGTATTGGTACTTGAGAGTGTTAGAATTTGAGAGTATAGGTACTTGAGAGTATTGGTACTTGAGAGTATTGGTACTTGAGGGCATTGGTACTTGGGAGTATAGGTACTTGAGAGTATTGGTACTTGAGAGTGTTGGTACTGGAGAGTATTGGTACTTGAGAGTGTTGGTACTTGAGAGTGTAGGTACTTGAGAGTGTTGGTACTGGAGAGTATTGGTACTTCAGGGTATTGGTACTTGAGAGTAATGGTACTTGGCAGTATTAGTACTTAAGAGTATTAGTACTTGAGAGCATTAGTACTTGAGAGTATTAGTACTTGAGAGTATCAATACTTGAGAGTATTAATACTTGAGAATATTATTACCTGAGAGTATTAATACTTGAGAAGCATATGTACTTATCGCAAATCCTTGCGACATATGTAGGTACTTGAAATGTACTTGCAACACATACTTCAGAACATATGTACCCACAATCAAAGATAGTTGAGACACACATATTTTGTAACAAAAGTATTTGTGAACAAACGTACCTGAAGATCACATTCATCACTGCATCTAGACATCTAGTAGTCTAAAAATCTCTCCATGCAAATACGTCCCAATGCACACATGCTTCCATTGTAACACTCACATACACAAACTCTAATCGAAAACAGACTCGAGCAACCACAGTAATTACATAACCTATGAAATCAAAGGCTTTAACGTGTAAATTATTCGTAACCTTAACGAGAATTTCAATATGCCTACACATGTTCATTTTTACCGCGGTATTAACCACCTTTGAGATATTGAAACAGCTTCACGATATTTTAGCACAGAGATCTCGTTTAATTAAGATCACGATGTTCTAATTTTGGCTTAATTACGGAGACGCTCAAACTATACAAATATCTTTAAGCGTTGCATGCTTATTGTTA